AAATACAAATTTTGATGGTTGAATTTCAATATTCAAGTCATGCTCTTAAAATATTTACTTGTTATCCCCAAAGAGTTTAATGTTAAAATATTTTAATGAAATGTATTTTCAATACATTATTAGTGGCAAGTTGTAATGAACATTTGATGCCATTTCTTTCAATATAATTGGAGCACAACTTGATAGCCCCGGTAGCAGAAGAAAACAGTTGATTTGGTGATCACGTAGTATTTGGGCCTGGCCATTACACAAATAAAGTCTTGACGAAGTTGGCTTAGCTTTTACATAAATAATATTGAAAATTCTACAAAATTTTGGTGGCTCATACATATTATGATGCTGTGTGTGCAACACGTGCAGGCAATGTAAGTAATTGTGAACTTATTTTCTAAGGGCTGTGACCTTTATTGGATTATTACAAAAACCTAGGAAATGTACATATGTTTTAATCTGAAACATCTGAGAATTACAGGAAAAGTTTAGTTGGGGACATTGCGAATTTCAAAGAAGGGCGGAACCTGTAACTTACTGTTGACTTGAAATAACCATCCAACATATCTTGTATCAAAACACAAATCTACTTTTGTCCTCTTTGTACCGAGGGTGCCATAATTTCATATTCCTAATTTTTGGGAACAATTAGACATCTAAATAAGCTTACTGACTCCTAGCCCCTTTTGCCCCAGTCCACTATCGGACACAACTTGGTTATAGTAAAAATAAAACTGTATTTTAGTGAAAAAAGAACAACTCACTGCGAGGAAGTGTACCTAAACAAAACAAAAACGTTTTTAACCCAATATAGGCAGAGGAAAACCTCCAACGAAGAATGATCTCGACGTTTTAAAGGAAAATCGACACTAATGTAATGTTTTATCTATTAGCTCATGGCTTCTAGCAGCTTACCGTTAGCCACCCAGAGTGACGGTATTGCCCTCCGAACTATTAAAAGTTACGTGTTCTGGATATCTCTATTCAGCTATTCAGCGTGAGGCCATAGATTATCACCATCTATTCAGCCATGGCCGGTCAAGGACTATACTTGGGTTTTTATAACTTGGAGAATTCGGTTCACCAGTGAAGTGTAAGAATGTAACATGCGTACGTGCAACTGGAAGTGGAAAATAGCTAAAGAAACGGAAGACTTGCCACATCAACGCAAAGAGCAAAAGAGAAGAAACAGTTTCCAACGTACTGAAATAAAGGCGAGACAGCGCTTCGCGTAAAAACTGAGAAATGTGCAAAAAAGTTCAAAAAACATGTAAACAAAATCACCAAAGGAGCGATACCTACGCTGGAGCACCGCGATATCTAGTGATGGTATTTCTTTACCCTCTGGTTTATTTGAACTCCAACAGGATGCCGATCATATTACCGACAAAGGAGGAAAATGCGGAAAATGCAGAAAAATGCGGCAAGTGTAGCGAAAAGTTTAAAACGGAGGATGAAGCTGTTGGCTATCTTAAGTTTTTTCACAAAGTCTGTGCAGGGGTAACGAAAGGACAATTTCACATCTTTAAGAGAACTTCGTGCAGTCTCATGGGGTTCTGCCAGTCATGCAAAGAATGGGTGCATCAAATATCAACCACAGACGAACTCGAGAAACTCAGGGACAAGTAACAAAGAACAAATATCGAAAGAAATTGAGACTCTCAGAGAGATATTTGTAGATAAAATAAAGGAACTCAAGGCTGAAGTAACTAGACCTCCACAAGAGAATATACCTGCCATTTCATTTGCTTCAAAACCACGTCGTGAAGAAACAGATCCCACAAAACTGAGAACCGAAGAAGAAAAAAACACCACAAAAGGAAGTAACAAAGTCATTGAGCGAAAGGAAGGCGAAGAAGAACGCTGGAGCATAATAATGGAAAACAGACGTACAAAAAATAAAGAATTATCGGTACAAAGAAAGCTGCCACAAATATGGTGCCGGCCCAACAAAAACATGGCTGTACGTCGGACGTCTCAAAGTCACAATAACTGATAAGAACGTTAAGGGGTACCTGACAACAAACAGCATACAAGGAGAAATGTCATGCGAAAATCTTCTCACAAAAGGCCAGAGTATCATATAAAAAACAGGTATCCATCGGCCACATAAAAAAGTCGGGAGAACAGAATTTTGACCGGAGGGCTTAGCAATGTGTTGGTACGTCTTTCGCCGTTTCTCCGGACACCAAGGAGAAGTCGATCTTGAATAAACTGCCCACAGCAGACTCTAGAAAGAAAAGGTTAAAGTATGATGATCCAAAGAAATCAGCCACAACTATAAATGTAAATAAGAGATCAGCAGACACAGAGTTAAACATCCTATTGTGGAATATCGAAGAAGCAAAGAACACACTCCGACAAACCATTTTATTCAAAGAATACATCGTAGTATTGACAGAAAGGTTCTTGACAGAGCCCGTGCTCATCACAGGGTACTACGGCTTGCACTCCTGGGCAGAGGATGGAAAGGAGGCCGGTACGAGTATTATCATGTTTGTTAAAAACTCCTTAGGCAAAATTAAATGGTCGCTAAAAAAAAGTATTTTGGTCGCCACAACAATGCTCACAATAATCGGGCTACACATAAACCCCCAAACACATGTAGATGACGTCGTAACCACAATAATAATGGGCGGCTATGCACACCCAAGATGAAGGGAATGTTTTAATATTAGGAGAACCAACTAGATGACGCAGTGAATCTATTAGAAGAGACCCTGAAAGATGTTAGAATCACAGTCAAAATCACAAGATCCAAACCTTGGTTCGACACAGATTGTGCTAGAGAACGATACAGTACCTTACAAGCTCTTCACGTCGCGAAAGCTACGTTCGAAAAAAGGAGTTGGAAAGGTATTCCGCTTTCCGGAGAAAATATAAAGCTATCGTTAACAAGAAAGAACATTTATAGAATCGCACGCGCGACTACTAGCAGAAGACGCACGCAGACACCCTTTTGCCATCCTAAGACAGAAGAAATCTACATGGAATACAGATATACAAATGGAGACCTGGGAGAAACATTTTGCTGAAACATTCAATGTCAAACATACAGACAAGGCCTCTAGCAGCTCCATCCAACAGCAGAATTCGAAATTAAAGCTTCAAGTTACCCCATAAGTGGTTAAGAAAGAAATCAAAACCTCGAAGAACAGGAAGGCAAAAGGACCTGATGGCATCTACAACGAAAATATCAAGAAAACAATGCGTTTTCTGTTGGACACTTGGACATGGCTTTTCAACAAAACCTGGCTTCGGGAAAAATACCAGAAAGCTGGAGGAAATCAGTTATAAAAACCCTCTACAAGGGAAAAGGTGACACTTCAAACTCCAACTCCTTTAGAGCCATCGCGCATGAAAATAAAATATTTAAAATATTCAAGAGTATCCTAGGTGGCAGACTAAAAGTGGATTTGGAAAACCACATCTCCGAACAACAGGACGGTTTCAGAAAGGGGAGAAGCATCATCCAACCTTAGGAAACCTACTTGGTGAATTTGAAAAGGAAATAAGTTATCCCAAAGGAAAATATAACGTGATTTTCATAGACTGTACGAAAGCCTTCGACTTTATAAACAGGGAGAAACTAGTTCAAAAACTAGAAAGCATGATCGGAGAAGATAACAAATTTTACGTGCTTGTAAGAAACATCCTAACTTACAATACGGTGCAGGTTGATGATGGAGTGATTATGGTGGTCAAAATCACAGAATCCTGCCAGCGAGTAATACTCCACTTATACGCGGACGATATGGCAATATGTTCTGCCCACAAAAACCAACTTTTAAAAATCATGGACGAACTCGATTCCGTTAGAATCTCCGGAGAACCTCATGTGAAATTTGTTACGACAAAATGACTTTGCATGCTACACAGGGGCTAGTCCAACCCCTGTGAAGCGTCCTAAACTTTACCCCTATGCTTATTCCTTCCCAATTCTGGCCGCTGGGTAGTGACGCAGGAGCGCGTAAGAGAGGCGCGTACGCGGAAATGCTATCTGGCGGTCCTCTTACATCTGACTGAGACGAGATGTGACGCACTATATTAATTAATGGAGGATTACTTCCGCGCAAATGAACTGCAGATAAACGCGGAGAAAACGCAACTTATGATTTTCAGGTAAGGGGGAAGAAAACAAACGGTAGTATTATGCTGAAAGGCGAGCCACTAAAAGTAGTAAATAACTTCAAATGTTTAGGCATTACCTTCCAGACTACAGTCACATCCATCAATATCTATGTACAAGAAAAATCGGCAACCGCAATCAGGGCTATGTACAAAATTAAAAATATTCAAAAAGTGTCCTTAGAAACCGCACTGTGCCTCTTCTACTCCGCTTTGAGTCCAATAGTGTCATAGAGCATAGAAAATCTCTGGGGCCACCTCACAAAGAAAGACCATTGCAAAAGTAAGATTTCTAAAGAGAGCTTTAGACCTACCAAAAACTCACTTTCAAGATTTGTATATGTGCTAGCTAAAGAAACCCTTTTAATAGAAGACCTAAGATCAGAATTCCTGCTGCACAAGAGACATGACCGAGAAAGACGCGAAAAGCCATGAGATATTCCATCGTGAAGACAGGCACTCATCCGCCAAGTTATAAGAACCTAAGTACAGAGAGCTCATGTATCACGAAAACTTGTGCAAGCATATAGTACTCTGGTTATGCCGATAGGTCCTGGGTTCGAGACCCGGTATGATCAAATATTTTACTTCTTGGCAGTCCATTTCCAATCCAAGATTGCATTTCTTGGCAATCCGTTTCCAATCCACTATTGCATTTCTTGCCAATCCACTAAGAATATATCGGGCATTGGCACTATTTTACCATCTTGGCAACAATTGTTTCTTAAGACAAACCCCATCGGATGTAATTTTTAACTTACAATGTGTAACTCATTCTATTTCGTTCATCGTCTATCTTCGTGCTATTTGTACTCCATACAAGTATTTGAATAATGTTGAATTAATGTTGGTTCTACTGCAGAGCACTTATTTCCATTGCATTTGGGTTGGTAGCAATGGCAACTACAAGTTATCTTTGCCACTTGTCAGTTGCGTTTCGGTGTATTTTCCTGTGATGTTGAGGTTATGATATTTGTTGTGTCGGCAGCTGTGGACTACTTCATGACTTCTGTAATATACGATATTGTTTGGTCGCGTTTTGGGAATCTTCTAAAGGTGTTTTTGTTTCTAAGTGAAAAATGTGATACCTGCAATCTCGCAGCCATATGTTCTCTACATGTTATATCTCGTCTTAAGAAATAGAATGTGATAGTGTTTCTGAGAAACACCGGCTTCGTATGCTGTATGTGTGTGCTGCCTTATTACTTTATGTAATAATTATTTTGTAACAATGGAATGCGTCACCACTGGGAGTGAAGATGTTGATAGTTCAGAGATACAGGATAAACCCACGGGTGAAAGATGGGCCCCTCTGGGAGCTAATGATACTGATGAAGCCTCGTTTTATGATCGTGAATTATGCAACCGGTTAGTATTTGTCTTTTTGTCTTGTATTGAGGGAGTTTTCCATTAATTGAAGTGTCTACTGCTACAGTATGGCAAATTTATAATCTCCTTGTTTTATAGTAATTGTTTAGTGTTCTTTTCAAATATTAATTGATGTTACTTTTCAACTTACGTTCATAGTTTAGTGCTAACTAATGTTGATAGGTATTGTAGCCCTGAAGCAGAACGGCTTCAGGATTTGGAGGAGCAGCAGGAGTTACTTAATTCATCACTTATTGCTTTGACAACTCACTTTGCCCAGGTAAAACATAAATGAATAAAAGTAATATTTTTGTTTGAAACCAAGAAAATGACTGCCTTCATATTGAAATAAAGTTCTGTAGTTTGATGTAAGCAGCATTTTATTTCCTGTTATTGTTTTTATTCATCGGCAATGCAAATTTGTTTCACAAATATGTGACTTGTTCTCGGGAGTAATGTTAACACTACAGCCCTCAAAATACACAAATATAGTTTAAATCTGGTAATATTTACTTCATTTTTACCATTCAAAATTAAACTGAAGGTAAATAATAAAATAATTTCTCTTTTCTACATTCTTTAGAAAAACAATTAATTATTTTATTATTACCTCATATTTATTTTTGTTTTGTACTACAAAAACAGTTAAATGCTTATATTGTGAGTGACTACTTCATTTTTTGAGCAGTATGTTGAACAGATAAAATAAATGGTAAATATTTGTAGATCACAAATCATATTTGGCCATATAATGTCACAAAATGTATTAATATATTTTTGGTGTATTGTGTATTTTATTTCCATTGATGTCATTATTACTAAAATTAACAAATCTAATTGAAAGGAATATCATGATTATTGTTTCTAGGTTCAGTTCCGTTTAAGACAAATTGTCGAAGCACCTCCTAGTGAAAAAGAACATTTGTTGAAAGATTTGGAAGCATTTGCATTCAGGGGAATTCCAGAAGTACAAAGTGTAAAAACAAGTCATTCCTTATTAACGTGCAGTTCTACAGTAAGTTGGTCTTGCTCATCTGCAGTCTGACATTTACAATATAGTTAATGATATCAATATTTCAATCAATATTTCTGCTATGTATTTATAGACTGGAGATGATTTGGAAGAGAAGATGTTGGCTCAAAGAGCTAAACAAAAGGAACTTATTTCACAACTGAAGACACAGCTGGAAGACTTAGAAAAATATGCCTATGAAACTGGAGAAGCAGGATTACCTCAGAGTGTTATAATGGAACGACAGCGTGTTATTATAGGTATGAATTGTGGTATTGTCATTGTTTGTTTTAGAAATATAATGTCTATCGCACACTCTTTTAAAAAGAAGCTTTTTATTCAGTCAGTTTTGGTTTCCAGATCAGTTGAAAGGAAAGTTGAATCTCGATGTTGATGATATGTCACAAATGAGTGTTGAAGATCTGAGGCATCAAGTCGACTGTGCTATTAGTCAGGTAACCTGCAATTTAAATTTTTTTCCATCTTTATTTTTGTGGCCCCAGAAGTTCACCAAGTTTTTGTATCAATTCCTTAGATTAGTAGTGATGAAAGTTAATAGATATTTTTAAAAAAGGGGGAGGGGGTAAACAGAACACAAGCAGATTTTTATTAATAAATTATCTTCGTACATAGTTGCTTAATGTTTCCTTTAAATCATAGATTTATAAATTGATTTTAAAATTTCTTAAATCTGAGTGTTGTTTGATGTGTTACATAGAAGCCATTGGTGGAATGTTAATTGACAATTATTTCTCTAAAATTAACTTTATCTGTAATGGAGGGACTATATGATCACTTATGACTATAACTATGTGATCAGTACATTTTGTGTGGATGGAGAACTGCTGGTGGGTGCAAGTAAGTATTTCTACAGTAATTGTAGAAATGTCTGTGGTCTAATGTTTTTGAAGTTAAATGAACAATATTATGAAATTAAATTACTATTTTATTACATAACTGTAGTATAAAATTAGTTGATTTTGAATCTGAAATGGTGGTGGGAGAATTTTTCATGGTTATGTCGTGTACATCTATGTTTGGCATGGTATGTAGATATAACAAGAGCAGCTTGAGAAGGCCATGGCCTACCCTTCAAGATGTCGAGGGTTAAAAAATATTTTTCAGCAATTAAAATATGGAGTAAAGTTATTTTCATTCAAATTGAAAGTGATGTGTAAATTCATAGGGAAACCATAAAAAAGTCAATTAGAGAATTGTTTTCTTTAATTTTTTGAAATCACTCTTGCCTCCTCTATTTTTGAAAGCCATCCTTGTTCTCTATAAACCATTGTAGAATGAACCAAAAGCTCTGTTACTGAATTATAAATTTGACCACCGTGAAAATTTTAATTATGTGCATTAACTCAATTCATTAGAATGTCACTGTCTTGCTGATCATTGTAGGGGAGGTGTGCTTTCAGTGAATGGTCTACTATATTGAACTAAAAATCTCTTGATGCGTGTTGTGTGCCATTTGTCTAGAAAATGTTAATGTTTTGATAATTAGATTAAAAATATAAATGTTTTTGCTTCTATTTACTTTCTTGTACAATCATAGTAACAACTATGTGTGATAGTAATAACAATGTTAGAAATAATTGGGAAAGATAAAAATTTACCTATTGAAATACAATTAAATACTAATGACAAATTGTTTCAACTTTTCATTTAATTTGAAATACTCTTTTTCTTTTATAATTGAATTGCATGCTTTATGTAAGTAAAATATTGACTTGTATGAGAGAATAACAAGGTTTGATATAATGTTAATAAAAATTGTGGAAGTGGCTATCATATAGCTATTATTAATATTTATTTGATTAGGCAGTACATACTCCTTAATAAATTTCTGACATGCTTAGTAGATAGAGACGTTCTTCATTAACTATTGATCTTAAACATAATTTTATTGGTAATCCTTTCTTATTTCTATTTGGGAGTAATTTATTTTGACATACTAATTTCTAACTCTGCCTTTTCTTTGTAGTTGATAAACCCTCTGAGGATGAAGGAACACTTAGTAACACAACTAAAAACACAGATATCTGATCTGGAACGATTCATAGAGTTCCTTCAAGGTATCTATATTTTTTATTGGTATCTTGTGTTGGAGATTTTCTTTCTGCTTTTGGTCTGCTTATGTATTCTTTACTAAATAGAATAGCTAACTTATTTCCTTCCTAGATAGTTGAAGTCAAAGACATGTCAGTGCACAAGACGAGCAATGCATAAAAAAAAGTGTTATTTTGCAGGAGAGTGTCTTTATCCTGAGCAGAGGCATTTATTTGATCCTCAGGACAGTGTTTTGCTCTATAAACTGTCTCATTTTTATTAGTGAAAATATACTATGTTCTAAACATGCTTCTAAACTTTATTACTTATTTGATTAAAGAAATTTGTATTCACATGTGTGGTATATGATTGTGGTATCTATTGGTTTTCCTATATGTAATGATGTAGATTGCTAATTTCCATCTAAATGATACATGTTCATTTGAAAATGCTGTTCCAATTCAGCACCAGTGACTAACACCGTAGCAATTATTATTTTTTTTATCACAACCAGATATTACAAAGAACTAAGTCAGAAGAGATTTCCAAATCAGAGAATAGAAACATCATAAAATTAAATGTAATTTCATTTTTGTTATTCCTTGTTTATATTTTGTCTGAAAATGTTTGGTATTTGCATTACTTATTTACAGATAACTATATTTTATACTTAACTAAAAACATGACAATTTTTGACATCTCGCTAATCTTGTGCACTAATGTATGGTGAATGATCTTCCAGAGCAGGGATTCCCAAACCTTTTGTGTGATTGACCTTTTATGAAAAAATGATTTGCTTCATCAATACCCTTTCATTTTTTCTCTTTTTAATATAAGTATACAATTTATTCATATCTCAAATAATGGTTCATAAACTGGAAGATATGGTTGACTCCTGTTATAGTGAACTTGAATATAGTGAACCCTCATTAATGGAAAACTTTCGTCACTGGTCCTGTTTCACTTAGATTAAAAATAAGCATAAAAAATTCTTTTATAGTGAACCTTGAACCTCGGCTATAGTGAATGTAGGAAATATGTGTTGGAAATTAATCTCCCCCCCCCC